TTTATTATGTATTTTGAACATATACAAATAAAAATTTTTTAGAAGTATGGAAAGAGCATGTATCTTTATCCTGTAATTGGTCTTAGTGTGGAAAACTTTTAAGTATGATGATGGCTGTTGGTTTTTCATAGATACCCCTTATCAGGTTGATGAAGTCCCCTTCTAGTTCTAGTTTGTTGAACATTTTAAAAATAATGTAAGTGTGTTGGCTTTTGTCAAGTGCTTTTTCTGTCTCTGAGCTATGATCATGTGTTTTTTGTCCCTTATTTTATTAATATAGTGTATGACATTGATTGATAATTCTTTTTATATGTTGCTGGAGTCAGTGTGTTAGTATTTTGTTCAGAACTCTTGTATTTCTGTTCATAAGGTACATTGGTCTGTAGTGTTATTTTAAGTTTTTATTTTATTAATTTTTTAGATTGGCATAAAATTGTATATATTTATGGTGTACAACATGACACTTAGAACTATGCATACATTATGAAATAGCTAAATCAACCTAGTTATCATATGTATTACCATTCATATGTACTATTTTTTTGTGGTGAAAACACTTAAAAACTTCCCTCTAGGCAATTTTCCCTTTGGCACACGTGGGCATGGTGGTGCATGCCTGAAATTCCAGCATTTAGGGAGCCAAGGCAGGAGGATCACTGTGAGTTTGAGGTCAGCCTGGGTTACACAGTTGAAGGCCACCCATAACTGCATAATGAGACCATGTCTCGAAAACACCAAAAATATATATTTTTTATTAACTATAGCCACCATATAGTAAAGAATAGAGGTCCTGAACTTATTCTTGTTGTTGAACTGATATTTTATATACTGTGACTAACCTCTCTATAATCCTCCTCCATCTCCACTACTAGCCCCTGGTAACCACTATTCTCTGCTTCTATGACTTTGATAGATTCCATATAAAAAGTGAGTGAGTGATGTTTGTCTTTCTGTGCCTGGATTGTTTCACTTAACACAATCTCAGATTCATCCATGCTGTTGAAATGGCAGACTTCCTTATATTTAAAGGCTAAATAGAGTGCCATTTTGCATATATATCATATTTTCTTTATCCATTCATCTGTTGATGGGCATTAGTACTAATTCTGTACTTTGGTATTGTGAATAATGCTACAATGAAGATATGCTTAGAGTTACTGCTTTGACATACTGATATCAATTTTTGGGATATATATCCAGTAGTGAGATTGCTGGATTTTATGGTGGTTCTATTTTTAATTTTTTGAGAAGTCTCCATATTGTTTTCCATAATGGTTGTACTAATTTATATGCCCCCAACAGTGTCTGAATGTTTACTTTTCCCGCATGCTTTCTTTCAATATTTGTTAATTTTTCTTTTTTTGATAATAGTCATTCTAACAGATAGGAGGTCTGTATTGTTCTTGCAATGTCTTTGTCTGATTTTCTATTTTTCTATTCTGTACTCTATTTCTACTGTAGTCTTTGTTGTTTCTTTATTGCTTGTTGCTATAGTTTGAATGTCCCCACAAAACTAAGGTTGAAATTTAATCCCCTTTGTGAGATATTAAGAGGGTGGAAACCAAATCTGACTATAGAATTTAGAGGTAGAAGGTTAGAAGGTAATTAAGGTGAAATGAAGTCATAAGTGTGGGGCCATAATCCAAAGAGATTCTGTTTTTTTATAATGATAGAGACCCAAACTAGTGTGTTTTATCTTGCCATGTGATGCCCTCAGTCACCTTGGGACTCTGCAGAGTTCCTACCAGCAAGAAGGATCTTACCAGGTGCGTCCTGATGGTGAACTTCCAGCTTTCAGAACAGTGAGCCAAGAAAACCTTTATTCTTTATAAATTCCTTAATATTTAGTTATAGCCACTAAAAATGCACTAAGACAGTGATTTAGGAGTATTGTTTTAATTGTGACATATTTGTAACTTTTCCATTTTTTTCTGTAATGATTTGTACTTTTATCCCATTGTAGATATAAGACATACTTTGTATGATAGTATCCTTTTTGATTTATTAAGGCTTGTTTTATGTCCTAACATGTTGTTTGCTGGAGAAGGTTCTATGTGCACTTGAGAAGAACGTGCATCTGCCGTTGTTCGGTAGAGTGTCCTATGGATATGTTAGAAATAATTAGGTTATAATGTTGGTCAGGCTTCTGGTTCCTTGCTGACATTCTGTCTATATGTATCCATTATGAAAGTGGGTGGGATATTGAAGTCTCCACTTGTTATCATTGAATTATCTGTTTCCCTTCAATTATTTCATTTTTTGTTTCATGTGTTTTGGGGGTTCTTTTGTTATATATGTTTATAATGGTTGTATGTTTTTCATGAATTGACCCTCTTATCATTATAAAATACCCTTTGTCTCTAGCAACAAGTTTTGTTTTATTATTTTGTCTATTATTTGTACAGTATAACCACTTCAGTTCTCTTTTGTTTACTGTTTACATGGTATATATATTTTTATCCTTTTACTTTTATTCTATTTTTGTTTTTGAATCTAAAGTATTGATTATTTAAGAAAATAGTCTGACAATTGCTATCTCTTAATTAGAGTACTTATTTAATTGTGGATGAAAGAGAATTCACTTCTTTTCTTTTGCTGTTTTCTATATCTCTTTGTCTTTTTTGTCTTATATTCTACCACTACAGTCTTCTTTGGAGTTAAATACATCTTTTCTAGGGTAACATTTTAATTCCCTTGTCATTTCTCTTATTATGTATTTTTGAGTTATTTTTCTTAGTGGTTGCTCTAGGGATTATATTTTTATTTGTAATAATGTAATTTAGATTAATATCAACAGTCTAAAAACTGTTCTACTATACAGCTCTGTGCTCTTTTACCCTCTTATTGTCACAAATTACATCATTACATATTGTGTGCTCATCCATACATATTTTATAATAGTGTTATGCTGTTGTAATTTAAATATGATTAGAAAAAGCAGTTACAAACAAAAGGCACATTTATATCATCTGTAATATTTACTTTTGTAATTACATTTACTTGTAGTCTGAATTTCTTCATGTGGATTTCAGTTACTGTCTAGTGTCCTTTCATTTCAGCCTGAAGGAAAAGTTTCTTTACTATTTATTTTAGGGTAGATCTGCTGGTGATGAACCCTATATTTTATTTGTCTGAGAATGTGTTAATATCTCCTTCATTTTCAAATAGTTATTTTTGCTAATGCAGAATTCTTGCTTGACAGCTTTTGTTCTTTTTTTAACACTTTGAATGTGTTATCCCACTGCTTCCTGGCCTCCATGGTTTCCACTGAGAAATCAGCTGTTAGTCTTACCAAGGCTCCCTTGTACATGAAGAGTCATTCTCTCTTGCTGCCTTTGAAATTCTCTCCTTGTCTTTGCCTATCAAATATTTGATGATGAAGTTAAAATCCACTGAGATCCACTGCTGTTTCATTGTCCCTGTTTAAAAGGAAAGCATGGAATTTTTTTTTCTAGTGCTTTAATTCAACTTTTATGATATCTCTGTAGCATTTCTATGATGTATCAACTTTATGATTTAGTAATTTGTGGCTTTGTTTTTCAATATCATATTTCAAAGAACTTTAGAACTCTAGAGTGATATTTACATGGTCCATCCTCATAACTCATTCACTTAATACATTTGTTGGATACTTGTGTATGGAAGGCTTTATGCAAGACTTTCAGTTTTCTTAGACAAGTGACACATGGTCTTATCTGTGATGATAGCACAGTTGGTTGGAAACTAAAAATTATGTAATTAAGATGAAAGAATATTATGAGTATTAACTGAGTATTTTAGCAGCACAGAAGAGAAAGTCACTGATTTTTATATTTCATAGATGAACAGGTGAGGACTGTGTAGATTAAGCAATTTGAGACCTTGAATTTATCTAAATTAGAAAGTGACAGACCCAAGTTCTAGAACTCACAATTCTGAATTCTTTCTATAAACCCATGGTGATTCTAGAATATGGCTATTATCTGATATTTTCAAGCATCAGAAGTGAAAATGATATCTTAAACCAGATAAATGTGTGAAGCACAGATTGGCTATTTTGCTACAAAAGGTGTACATGCTACAAATAAAAATAAAAGTATTTATGGCTTATTAAGTTAGACTAGCATGAATTTAGCAAACAAGTGACTATGTTGAAACATGAAGTGACAAAATATGAAAAGATTGTTTTTCTAAATCCACCTTGTTTTTTTTTTCTTTTTTTAAAAAAATTGATATTTCTGTTTTGAAAAGAGTCCTTCATCTCCCTTCATCTTCAGTAAAATTTGGGTAGGTACAGTTTATATCATAGTTTTCTTAAAAATAAGAGTTATTGATCAATCAGGACTGTGTTTATTCCCCACAGGATAAAGCATGCTTATTTGGCATACAGTTTTAATTTTAATCTGCATGCCTCCTTTTCTATTATCCCATGATTCTTTGCAGCAGGACAGGGAAAAGCAAGTCTTATAAAAAGAAATACAGTATGTGGTGCTTATTAAAGTTACATACATCTCCTCTCACAAGAGAATTCTGATTTACTGCAGGTTGTGCATATGTCGCATATGGACATTTCTAGGGAACAGATTCCTTATCGCTGAGCAGTGAATGGCTTCTAGTTCTCCATTATTGCTTCGGGAACGTGCTAGTAATGATTATGAAAGGTAAGATACCATGAAATCTGTAAGGTGATTTGGCAGAAGTCAGTGCTGTTGGTGCCAGGATTTGGGTACCGTACCAGTTTCCTGTTTTCGAATGTATTAATTGATCCGCAAAGGACATCTTTTGGAGACAAGAATTCAGACAGACTGGCACAGCCTGGACCTCCGCCAAGACTGCTCGGAAGGTTGCCATACTGGGAGCAAAAGAGTGAGAGAGAGAGAAAGAGGGAGAGAGAGAGAGGCAGAGGGAGAGCTGAGAAAAGAAAAAAAGGCAAGACTTGGCACAGCTCAGTCAAATCAGCTTCTTTTGTCTGCTTTCTCGGCTTGAGCTTCAGGAAAGAAAACCGTCCCGGGGTACAGAAACACTCAGAACTTTTTGGTTTTCAAACTTAGAAGGCTTTTTAAGTCTCCTGGGCTATTGGAAAGTGTTGGTACATACAATGACGTTTAGTCACCAGTATTAAGGGAAATAAAAGCCTTTTTCAAAACGAAGCTTCCACAGTGTCCATGCATTTGGGAAATACTGTATTTGATTTTTTTGCATGTATGATCATACCATGAGAGACAGGATTAATGTAGAAGATGGCAAGGCAAATTTCTAATTAGAGAGAATTTTAATTTTCTGCAAAATAAAGTTTGTTCATCAATACAAACCTGCTTTCAAATCAAATCAGGCATCCTTCGGAATGTGTTCAGACCGTAAGTTTTTAGACTTTATTTTATTTTATTTTATTTGTTTTTCCCATTTACAGACATTAAGTTTTCAAGGAGACTTTCTAAGATTTTATGCAACCCAGCAAGAAGTTAGAGTAAAAGTTGTTTTATCCATGTGTTTAAGAAAATGTTTTCTTAAAGCAACAGCTTTTATTTCTGTTGCTTCATGCTGTCCTAAACTACATCCCCCAGCAATTAGTGACAACACTGAAGACCAGAAAGGCAAGCTGAAGACACCAGACTTCGCTTGAAGGGCAAACAAGAAATGTGAGCTTGGTCATTATTTTTTTGTGTGTCTTTGCTCTGAACCATTTTTGGGAGGTGGGTGGGGAGGTGGGTGGGTAGGTGTCTATGTCTAAAGATGTGTGCGATTAGTGAATTCTTATTGTGAGGAGGAAATGATAAAAGGTAATTTTTATGATGTTGGTAGAAATGGCTGGTGATGGTAGAGAATAGAAATTGAAATCTTTTGGATAAGGAGTAGTGAGCTCTGTTTGAAATAGTTGGAGAAAAATTCCATTATTTTTAGTTGATTAGATTTTATAATTCAACGATTATTATAGCCTGGCTCTCTCAAAATATTTTAAGTAAAAGGAAAATCTAGAAAATTCATCGATTTTCTTTTTATTCCACTTTGTGTTTTATTTAGATATATACTTTATATCTGGTTTCTTAAAAAAATACTTCCTATTAGGCCTGGTTATGGTTTGATTGTGATAGTTCTGATCTTAAAAATCAGCATTATTGTAACAGAGATTAATTGTAAGGCATGTATTTTGGTGACCACCCTCATTGTCAGCAAATATTCTATTTCCAAAAAAGAGAGTTTGAGTTGTGGGATTTGATGATGACTTTCTATAATCATACATTTTTTTTTCTATGTACTGAGAGAATACAAGAAAATCGTATATATTCTCATAAGTACTAATTATTATGGGTAGTATAAAAGACTGCTCCTGGATCTATGCTTTTGTTTTGAGTATGTAATCACTGATTTGTTAATCCTCTGACAAAACAAATTGTCTATAGCTTTCTGTTATTGCGCGCCTTAAATGATCAATTGTTTAAGATGATTTTTATAAAATTATAGAGACACATCAGCAATCCTGAAAATGGCATTTCATGTATAAATACAATTTTAAAATGTATGAAATTTAATACAGGTGTTTGAATAGTTAAGTTGAAAGTATTTTTCCTTTGTTTTTTTTTTTTTTTACTAATCAACATTTTGATCCTCAGTAAAATGAAATCACTTAATATTTACGTGGGTTGCCAAAATGACAACCTTTGTGTTATAAGCTCCTTTGTACACCACCTCACTGATTCACCTAAAATGGATGCCAAGCCTTGAGAAACAGGCTGATGATAGGTACCGGAAAGGAGGTGTTTGCATGACCACCGTCTTCATGTTTGAATTGATCACAGGATCATTCGTGCCCACACCAAAAACAAAAACAACTCATGAAACAAAGAAAGTTCAATAAATAAGTTTAAATTAGAGTTACATTTTTAATACTGACCGTCTCATTACCGTTTATATTTACTTCTTAAGCATTTACCACAATCTTTTGCCATTTAGGATTGCTAAATATATAACTTATTTAGCTTACTTTAGACCATTTTTTTCTTTCAAGTTAAAACAATTATTTGATAGCTTGTTTCTTAAATTCTGTGTAGCGAACTCAGTAAGCACAAACTTATATCCAAACTATTTTATGTCTAATTATTTTCTAACAGTATAAGCAAAAGTAGGCGAATAAAACAAAATATGTCAGAATATATCTTAAGAAATATTATAATTTTTGTTCTGGTAAAACTATTATTTTATAGTGTAATTAGACTTAAGATTTGATAATTATTATCTATTTTATTCAATAAAGTTTCTTCCTAATACATTCTGTCTGGCCTACTTGTTACATATCTTAAAACGAAAAAAGTTCTCTATTACAATGTTCATTGTTAATTGGGTGTAATAGACATTGTGTACAACCTTTTTGTTCTGAAAGTCTGATTAAGAAATTTTATTGATTACATTTTTTCAGAAACAGACATTTAGGTTTAAAATAATACATGTTTATTTCCTGTAGATCTTTTATACTACAAACACATCGACATTAGTTACTATTTCCATAATACTAATCATATTTCAAATCTTGTTTTAAAGTGTCTAAATACTATTGTTTGATTGTAAATAAACCCTTTCTGAAGCACACATTCATTGTAGTTTGAATTGCTTAATATTTTGAAGTAGAATTGTAAGGACAGAAATGGGTTAATATTCTACTGCTACTTGATGCATGTCATTAAGTCCCATTCAATTGTAGTTACCTGAGCACATGAGCACATTATTCCATAAACTAATGCAAACCTCTCAGGGGGCCTTGGTCCACTATTTTATAATTATTCACTCATTTATTCATTTATTCAACAAATGTTTATTGAGTACCCTCTTAAGTATGCTAATATTTTACTGATGAAGTTATTTTGGGTAACAAGGAAGGAAGCTGCATATATAGATAAAAGAGGGAATAGATTTAAAATAATGCTGAAATAGCCTGGAGAGAAAAGAGGACTGTAATATTTATTTCAGTAGATTAAAGGAAGCTCACTTGATTACACCATATATGTATTACAGAGTGCTATTATTAAAAAATCAGGAGGTTAGTTGCAGTCCACACAGCTACAGGAATTTTATTTTACCATTGTTTTGTGGTCACTGCATCTCATTGGCCAAGCGCTCTTGTTGTTCCAGTCTTGTGACACATGTGTGGAATGTGTAATCCGGAGGCTGCTAGGAAGAAATTAAGTGGAGAAGGCCAAGCCACTGTTCACACACTAGATTTGACCTATGATGCAGTAGGTGTCATTGAACTTTTGAAGATACGGCTGTAACATAAAAAACAACGGCCATTTCTGAGGAAATATTAGCTTCCTTTGTTTTCTGTTGTGAGACAGAGGAGGACCAGGAGGCCGATCCCACATCTCTAAGCCAGCATGGCCTCTGAAAATAAATTTGCTAGGGGCCAGTGTGCTTGAAAGGGACCAGTCAGATCACCATCTGTATGTTATTTATTTATTGGTGAGCACTGAACTTAGTAGCCTAACTTTATTCCATGTGGTTGTTTCAAATATAAAGAAAAGACACAGACTCATATTCTGAAGAGGCGCTGGAAGTCCCACTGGCTCAGAGGCTGCAGTCAAAGGGATGGTGGTGGGCACAGGCTGGGCCATGGGTGGGCACTGCTGAACATTCCAAATGGGGTCCTGAGGGCCTGCACTGTGCCAGGCTGCAGATGCCAGAAGTGGGCCTGGCCTAGCTGGGTGACAGGAGAGGACAAGAGCCACTGCTGAATGTGTCTCTTCAGTTTACCAAATGCTTTCACCCATCATCCATCAGCTCCTAGCAACACTTGGCATAAGGACTGATCTGTGATGGCCACTTAATAAGTATGAACCTGGATATTATCTTCTTACTACCCCCTTCCTGGCTGAAAACCAAAAATGACTGTGGTTGTTTTTCCTTGATTCTGTGCTGCTGTTCTGGGGTTAGAGGGGAGGAGCCTAGAGCTACATTCACTGTGGCTGTGTTGGAATCCCTGGAGGTTGTGGTTGGAGACAATAGAAAATGGGGGCTCAACAGTGATGCCATGGCCTGACCACTTGTTCCCTCTCCAGCTGCCCTGCATTGTCTTGTATTCTCCCGTCCTCTTCCCATGCTGCCCCTTAGGATGTGGTGGTGTGACCTAAGCAGGCCGAACAGATTGCCAGGCAAGTTTACAGTATTCTTAAGAGCATGAAGAGAAGACTGAGGGACTGAGATGGTGAACTGGTGAGGGAACATAGCATAGAGCTGAGGGGCAGCTCCATCGCCAGCTGCAGCCCTGGAGGAGCCTAGGAGGTGAGGCCTGGGGTTTAGATGGGACTGGGCCTAGACTGAGATTCAGCAATGGCCACACTACCGGTGTAGAAGGGATTATGGGGGCAGAGTATAAAAGGCTCGTTGAGGGTAGTTCATGGGAGCAGCATCTTTCCAGTCTTTCTGCAGGAGTGCTGAGAGGCCTGGGAGGGAGAGTGGTCAGGACTGCTGTGTGTACCTGAGGAGGAGGAGGAGGAGGAGGGGGAGGGGAGGCGG